AAAATTACATGAAAAAACGTTCAATCATCACGATAAACCTTGTACGTCGTGATTAATAATATAACATTTAAACTTTGACCGCGGTGTGTGACGAGCCAGAGACTTTAACGAAAGCGCTGTGAGGAAACTGTTTTCTTTTTTAAACTAGATGACTCTACCAACTTTTTCGCCCTTTGAATAACAATTTATGATGATGGAATTCGATTGGCCGAAAAAAGAAGCGCTCACTGTACGTCTTCGTTTCTAGACTAAATTAATCGAACGCTGTTAAAAAAAAAAAAAAAAAAAACTATACTGGACAATGCGCGACACATAATGGTGATTAGAATCGCGTTTGCGACACTGGGCCTGTCCAGACACTTACCGATTCGTCATATATGGCCCCTAAATATACGTTATATATATACAGTGTAGCTAGGACTCGTTTAAGTATAATAAAATCATATATACATGTTTGTGCGAGGTAATATAAACGCTTGTTTATAGTATAGTAGTTGGTACAATAAAACATTAAGCAGCACCGGCGTTTGGGTTGTGAAATTTCGCCGAAAAAAACGTTTTCCGCCGATACCGGTAACATAATGCGCGGCATTGTTTACTTGAGTTCAATACATATATATATATATATATATATATATACTTATATACATATTGTACTTACTGTGTAGTGCCTAATTTTTACGGACGAATTACATTGAAAACCATTAACCATAACACCGCGCCGAGCTGGCCGACCGTTCTGCCCAAGAAGCGTCTAGTTAATCCCGGGCCTCTTCGAGACTATGATAATAACATTATAATAATCGAATTATGATTATACACATTACAAAGATCCGCCGCACTTTCTCCGTTCCGTTGATTCACTACAGGTTATCGAAGAAGAAGAAGGCGAATCGCCAAACCGTACCTACCTACACATGTAAGACGACGGCGAACGCATAGCAAATTTGAACGTTGAAACCATTAGCTGATAATAATTTCAAAAAAACAACTAGATACAGCCAACTCCGATTTATCACCGTCTTCTTTATAAAATGTCCGAGAAATATTGTGTGCTTCCAACTACGGCCGTACAAATTGCACGGTCGCGTTTGTAAAGTTTAAATCATGCATTTTATCGGTCATTTTATGTAGGACACATAATATTATATTACAGGGATTGGGCGGTAAACTATCCAATTTGGAACACAGACCAAGATATAGGCTTGCATACTAGCTTTAACTAACTAAATGTAAGTGCACAGATTTTATAAATGCATTTGTTTTTATAATTTTACGAGAACAGCAGAAAAATTTGAAAAACAGTGAATAGCAAAACATTTGTACCTCAGGACTCCAAATGTATGAAACCAATGCTCTATACCGTCGATATCTAATTAGATAGTTCGTGATTTAGGATATAGTTATCAGTTATCACACAGGACACATACGAACATTTCAAATAAATTAAATAAATAATTTACGGAAAAAACCATAATATAGTTAAAATAGGTACCTACATATTGAAATACATATTCGGAATAACTAAATAAACAGCCAAGTGAACTAATAACTATACATTTATTGAACATATATTACTGTCGAACACTATATATGGTTTTTTTTCGCGTAACACTATACCCAAGTTTTATCGCCGGTTTTTTTTGAAAACTTTTACATAACTTAATGACTTACCTTTGAAATTTTGTTAATTTTCCTTTTTTTTTTAAACGGATGTACTCAAAATAACATTATTTTGTGACTAAGTTAGGGTTTTTGTTTAGATAAACATTTCAATTTGTTGCTAGTTTGATAATACATATTAGTGTACCACATTAATTAAAAAACGTTTATATTTTCTAATTTAATATTTGTATGAGGTTTTAAACATATTACCGTAACTAACAATGACATTTGTAATATTTAGCAAATTTGATTGAAAACTATTTTGAATTAGTTACAATACAGTTTCATTGAAATGTTACCAAAAGTATTTTACAAATACGAGTACGTTATTGCTCTGTGAGGCCGTGAGAGATGTTTGTATAATACACATACCCACATTTTAATTTGTGAAATTTGTGCGTGTTTAGTGTTATAAATTGCGCCCAAGTATAATTTGTTAAAAATAGTGTAAGAATATTCACTTGAAAAAAACTAATGCTATTAGTCGCGAAAAGCGTCTATGCAAATCAGTTTGCCTACTATACACCTATTGTAATACGCACACACAAATTTTGTAGGTATCTCATTTTCTTATCTATTTGTTTGCGTTTCTCACGGGATCTCGCGGTATTCGCACGATGGTTTTTTCGTACGCCTCGGCCGTCTCTCTGGGTCATTAGCAATGCGACCTTTAAAAAATAAAAAAACTGAAAAAAATCAAAACCCTACTTTTGCGTGAGACCGCACGCGCGGGCATCCATCACCCGTAGCCGACCCGCGTTAATGATCTAGCCGACTCCGGTAATATACCTACATATTATAGATCTTCTCCAAAGATCAAAGGTCACCGGCCATTGCACATTGCGGCGAGGGCGTCGGTCTACGGCTGACCTTGATTGCGCCGTCTATAATAATAATATTATAGTACTTGGATTGTTATTACTTATTATACAGTATATTACACAGGAACCGAATAATATAATACACGCCGGCATTGTGCTGGCTGACACACACACACATGTAGGTTAATGCCTGAACAGCCGCCGAAGCGACTCGGTAGTAGGTACTTGCTCGTGGTTTTCGGCTAGCCGGCCCCGCTGCCGCACGCATGCACTTGCCGGTCGCCACGCTTGGCCTACATAACAGCAGTACCTACGACGTGGACAGCTGCTGGCCTGATCGGTTTAATATTGTGGTAGGGATAGCCGAAAGCACGTGGGACGCAGCCCCCGTCGACCGGCACAAACGACAAGAACCAACATCTGAACGAGTCACGAACGTCTATCCTGTACTGTATACGATTCGGTTGATTTTGATATTATATTTGGCTTTATTGTACTTAAATATCGTTTTGTCTTAATAAATATAATGACTTAGCGAACACTTGTGCCGACACGGCCGGATTGCTAACAAGTCGAAGCATAGGTGTCTAGTTAAAAAGCGGCTCCGCCAAGAACGTTGCTATGTTGTTATAACATTTATACGTTACTAAAAAAATGCTAGTGTATGTTTATGTATGGTTCAGTCAATACCTTTAAAGATATATAAGACTGTTTTGAAATATTCTTTTTCATACTTTTACAGTTATTAATTGGCACGAATTTGATCAATTATTTAACGACATAATCCCATTACTTATGTGTTGAAACCCTATTATCTTAAGATTTTAAAAGTGGTTACGTAACTGTTACATTAACTTTTTTAAATTAAGAAACATTTTCTGAAAATCAGTTCAGACTTTTTAAGTTATTGTAGTTTAAAATTTAGGACGGGAGGTAGCGTGCGGATAAAAATAATACTACACTCCACCTTTTATTCTATTAAAAGTAATTAAAAGATGATTATTTGACCAGTCAAAATTTCATAAGGTTTTTACACAAAACACTAAACAGATTGAGTTATATATTATGCGGGAGGAAATGTATCAAAATTGGGCGAACTAACAGCTATAAAAGTAAAAATGGTTAAAAAATAATTTTGAAAAGTCAAACATCTTCTAAGATACTCTCTGAGCCATAGTTAACCAATAAGCTGTATAAATAATGGATACAAATCTATACCGAGTTTATCGCCCGCTTCCTGGTTAGATGTTGCCCTTAATAAATGTACAGTCGTCTAGACTTATGATACAAAAACCTTCCAAGAGCTGACCGCTATAAAATGTTCTTCTCTATTACCTGTGTTCCTCATCGTATGGGATAAAAATTAGCTTTACGGAATTTTCACAGTAACATTACTTTCATACTTCTCTTAATAGTTACCAGGAAAAACATAACTTTTATGTCGTTCCATTCGATGCAACAATAAATTTTGCGTTTTATGCGCTAGGAATTAAACTTGTATTTCTAATCGATCGCAGAAAAGCTGTAACTACTATTCCATACAATATACCTAAGTATGTAGGGTATAGTGTTCACTCATAGATATAACATGGTGTGTATATATAAATAAATAGGTAGAGCTCGGTAACATATAATTTCAACGTTATTGCATCTCTCATCTCCGGTTTACAACATCGATGGTATAGAGCACAAGTGTGATAACTAGGTATTGAGTGCATTAAAAAAAAAAATACAGGAAGGACGTCTGAGAATGTATAATGCTAAAATATCATTTCACGATTTTGATGAACTTGATATCGCCTTTGGCAGCAAAAACTTAGTCTTTGGTTATTTATAAAAATTTAATAATCTAACAAAATTATTTTATAAACAAAGTAAACAGTTAGATGGTACTGTGTATATATATATATATAATAATATATATAATATATTTATAATATTTATATGGGTATAGATCAGAGAAATAGTGAACTACTAGGAAGCCCATATAATTATAAAATTACGCTAACCAGGGCCTAATAGCGTATTGTCACCATTCAAAAATAGCTAAATTAAAAAAAAATGATGTTTTTGTTGTTTTGTTTAAAATTTGAGAATAATCATAACTATTTTAGGTAATAATCATTCCAACTATTGCTAGAGTCAAGAACATTCGGGCAAGATACGTGGGGGCCCTCGATGAGTTGGCTGGTTCGCGGTGGAAACTCTATAGGTATTCTTTCCACGCGACAGCCGTGACAAAAAAAAATATAATATATATATATTATGTATGTATAAAAAACCCACCACGGTGCTGGAAAACTGTGACAAAGAAATGACTTTGCTTTCTCTTTCACGCAGCATCCTGCTGACTCGGCTTTTCATGCTCTACTTATTCGACATAAGAAACAATGATCGCACCACCACCGTCGCTGCGGTTGCTCTACAATTTTCCACAAAGTAATATGTGTATACGCACTCGTCATCGTTTTCCTCTCACATACATAATAACATGGGCAACAATAAAATCAATAGTCGTTTTATAAAACACGTCTGTACTCGTTGTATATTTATATAGATTCCCAAATTAAAAACTGTAGAAAAAAAGCACCACGGTTATAACAGCAGTGAGTACAACAATATAATAGTAATTTTTATAAAATACAATAATAATAATGATAAAAATAACACGGTTTGTACAGTTTGTTTTAACAGCGAGAGATTCGAAATCCCTTGGGACGAAAATTAAAATATTAAAACGAAGTAACAAAAATATAACAAATTTAAGTACGCGACAACAGCGTTCTGTATAATAATATAATATATTATGGACGTTGTTAGGAATGTTTCGGTTTGGAATGTTTACGGTAACTAATAAATGCTTAATTTATTTATAAATTGTCTAAAAGTTACAAGCACCCGCGTTCAAGTCGTTTCGTTTTTGATTGTGCGCGTTTTGGACATCAAACTTAATTATAACCCCCCCTGGCCGGCCGTCGTTGCGTTTGTTCACTTGTAATACTTGTCCACCTCGTCCACCAGTTTCTCTATGTTCAGCTCGTTGATCTCCACGAATTTTTTGCTCTGTCTGCTGAAATAGTATATGTCACCGGTGTATATGTCGAACCACAAGGCGTGTATGTGCAGGTCGTACGTCTCCAACCGCTTCTTGAGAAACCCGTAGCTGGCTATGTTTTGCAACTGCTGCAGGGTGTTCACCTGACCAGAGAACGTACATACATTTAGACATCTTAATTATGATATATGTATATGTATATATATATATATATACACACACAAAAGTTTTATTATGCGAGTTATGCAAATCGGATGTGCGGGTTAAGAGCTGTGAACGAGAGGAGTTGGTATGGACTACGATAAAAGTGGGAAGGGTAGGCAAAAGTTCAATTACCCGTTGAAAGTATATAGGCGTTTTGGAGCACCCCTTCCCTCTTCACCATTTAAAGATTTCCGTTACCTGCGACAGTTTGTCGGTGATGGAAAACTTGTTTTCTGGATCGATGTAGGCGATGATCTTGCGCAAAGGCGTTTCGGCCTGGAACACCAGCGGCGTGTCGAACCCGGACGTTTCCAGCTGCTGGAATTTCTCCAGGGACGAGATGGCATGAGTGCACAGCCAGGCCCGGAGCGGCGACAGCCGGCGATTGTCGATGCTGGAGAACTCGGTGTCCCTCAGCAGGTGCAACAAGTTCATTGCCTGCAAAAGGCGGCGTTCAACGCGTAAATACTTGAGTACATAATTCCGTCGTTCCTCCACAGAACAGACGAAAGCAGAAGTAAACAAAAATGTGACGGCCATTTTGTAATATTTATTTAGTATTATATAATGTTATATCTATACACAACTAATAATAATAATGTATAGATATAACGTTACGTGGTGTAACCTTAAGAAGATGGCCGCCGCGTTTTTGTGTAATAAGTGCCTTCCCCGTGTTAATTTTTATCGGTGTCCGGGGTCTGGTTCCTCGGTTAAAAAGTTATGTTTTTTTTAAATTAATTTATTCTCCTCACCCCGTATTGATTGTACGGTGCGATATGAGTTTGTTATACGTTTTGCACAACATGTTTTCAAAGGTTTCCGTTCGAAAAAGGTTTTTGGTTGTTCAATGAGGAATCCAAATTACAAGTAAGTAGTAACACCATCCGTTTGCGGCCATAACGTGTGCGGTTGCGTGGACCGTGAAATCAGGGTTGTTGTTGCCGACATCACGAATGGTTTACGAGGGGTGCGGTCCTAACACAGTGTTATTCAATGGTTTTCTCTCAATCCGGTAGACCATACGAGCCGACACCGGATTCGATTATTTAAGGTCGTCCTAAAGATCACTCATCGCTACCACCACCAAAATGGTCGAACACACCCCCAAAATAAAACAAAAAAAAAAAACCTTCGGGGACGCGACACTCGAGCGGAATATTAGTTATTACTTATTAGCTGTTGTGTCCAATGAAACGTTCAATAAACTCACCAGAAACATATATACACTTTAAATGGGTTTTTAGGTACAAACATTATAAACGCTCGTGCTTATGCTCGATTGGATGGAAAAAAACAAATTCCCGGTATTTTACAAACCCGAAAATTGTAGCTTTCAATAAAATATGAACAAATATTCTTACTTTGCAATCGGAATGACCGCACACGATGACGTGCCTAATATCGTTGTGAACACATCCGAGTTCCAGGGCAGCAGGTTCGCAAGTCGTGTATTCGTCGAGGAAGTGTTGCGAATGCGGAATCAAATTGCCGGCATTTCTCACTTAACATAAAAAAAAAACCGTAAAAACTTTAAAATGGGTTTAGAGTAAACGCTAACAATTGGGGCAAATGCACAACGAGCATTGACAATTTTTAATTTTAACTGAAATATTTAAATTATGCGATCCTACTGTATTAGCTACTCGGTTAATTAAAATACAAATATCCTTGGTTTTTTCTATAGAAAAAAAATTATACTATTTTTATTCGTTTGACACTAATTATTGTCGTTGTAGCGGTCAGAGACTGTTACAAAGGGTTCGTGACTAGTAACACACTCCCCCTCCCTAGAAATACCTTCAGTTTTAATTATTGAAGTTTAGCAGTAGTTGATATGTTTAATTTGGTTTTATACTTTTGTTCATACCTACCCAAAAACACATATTCAATTAGATTTGTTGTATATTATATTTGTTTCATTATTTTGCGCCTGAATTTTTAAAAGTATACTAACCAATGAACATATCACCGACATTAGTTTCGGTAAATCTAGCCGGTAACATTCGACTGTCCATGCATGTGAAAAATACAGCTTTAGGCTAAAAAACACAAAAGAAATTAAATTTATATTTACATATATATACATTGTATTTAAAAAATATTAATTTATAAGAATAAATAAATATATATATATATATATATGAGCTACATTACAATAGCAGAGCTCTTAATAACATTATAAGTGACTATTATTATTTTGTTTAAAATACAAAATTTGTACAAACTTTTTTTGATAACTTCTGCAGATAGATTATAGTTTACGACTTAGTTGGGCTGAGCACTTGCCATTTTTTTGGTTTTAATGTTACCAGTTTTCCGTTTGCCACATAATTAGGAAGTGTTGAGAATGAATAGTATTACAAACTATAGACTATAAATTGTTAACTACCATGTGGAAACTAGTTATTTAGTTAGTGCCTTCTTAAACTCATTTAGATAGTTAATTAGGTAAACCCCGGAATTCTATTCAAAACAGTATAGTAATAATAGTATGTGCACTGTGTACATTTAACAAAAGCCTAGCTACAATAAAATATAAGAAAATTACAGGCGTACAAAATACAAGTCATTGTTATTTTTTATTCAACATGAGAGTTTTTATAGTTCTACGTACTTGCTCGTATTCTTATGTGGGACACTTCAACTAGAATAAAATTATATTTTTTGTATTAATAATTTGGGAGACAGAGTTTTTATTTATTTTCATAAAAGTCACTTGGGTAGGTCGGATCAAAACCCAAATGGGGTAATTGTAAATACATTTTTTCTTAGAAAGAATCAACAATGTTTGTATTTTATTTAATTATGTGTAATTAAAATATCATATTTAAAGGTTTCAGTTAAAATTGAACATTGTCAAGCACATTATGAAAAAAATATATAATTTACATTGGCCACATATGTTTACATTTTACATTAGCCCCCCACTTAACCCTAATGACATTAACAACTTTTGGAAATTGTACATACATACAAAAACAATTAAAGTAATTTAATTGACTGGAGTTGAGACTAAAATCCCCTCCCAAGTGTGCGATGTTAAAAGGAAAAAAAAAAGACTAAAATCAAATCTAGCGATTAGATACGTTGAACTCGATAAACTCGAATCGTTCCTTAATTATCACATAGTCCGTGTCATCGTCAAAATTTGAGATAGAAGCAATCAACAGTCTGCCATTTGATCTATCTTAAACTCGAATCTCTTATACGAATTATGTCTCAATTAAATTCTCATGATGTATATAATAATCTAATATATTTAACGATAAACCTCAAACATTTATGTTACGCACACTTAAGCACCGGATACTTAACACTTAAGTAATCAGGGTCAGATTACGGTTATAATCTGAGGGGGCTATATACTCTTGGGCCTTGGCTAGGGCCTTTTAGCCTAATATATATTTTTATAATATTCAAATTTAGTAATTTTTATTACTATAATAGCTGATGTTGACAGTTGACTTTTTTTTTTGTTTCTTTGGTATAATATTATATCGATATGAGGTCTGCCGTTTGAGGTACATATATTATTTTAAAAACAATCTATTATTATATTCTGAACAAGAGGATTCTAGTATAAGTTACCATTGAATGGCAAGACTTCTATATCAGCAAAGATAAATTATTATATTTATACAAAAAAAAAAACAAAACTAAACCTTGTAGCCCTCTTCGAATTGCGGCCCGAGGTACAGCCCCTCCCCTTGACCCAGCCTTGTAAGCAATATTCAGAGTTCAGACTTTGGGACTTCGATAATTTATAATCAGGTTATACATAGGTTGTGACTGTTCACAGTAATAAACACCTTCCTCAAAGTCACTTTGACAGATGCATTCATTCTTCTACTCTCTCAATTCCTATGCCCATGGACCAGACGCGGAATACTCGATTGACCGGACTAGAAATATTTTGTTACATACGGCGGCGAGCGCGGTAATAAACGTCATAATAATTAATTATTGTCACGATGGTCACACTGTTGGCGGTCGCAGGCGGTGGCGGGTTTACGATAAGGACGAGCATGTTTCGCGATAACCGATTACTGATAAGTGATAACTCGTTTCGCTCCTGTTGCGTAGCTCGCCTCGACTTGCGACAAAGTACCACAATATTAACGATAGCATTACTATAGCCGAGTAAAGATATTAATATTATTAAAATTATTTTCGCTTGCAGCCGTGAGCACTGGACGCGCACCAGCGGCGACACTAGGCCGTGTACGAACACCACGTATGCTATATGCGTACATTGGTTTAAGGTAATAGCAATAATTATTTCATAGACTTCCGACTTACTTCCGGCTTGTTTTTCACCTGGACGAACTGCTCCACCATTCTTGTCCGGGTCGTGTCCCTGTACTTCATTATGCCCCGGAAAATTCGGTCCATCGCTCGGCTTTTGTCGGTGCGCGCGGCCGGCCCTGCATTTGTTCGCGCACTGTCGTCCGCCTTTTACAAGGCTTCTCTACCGTTGTGTTATTGCCGACGGCGGCAGCTGCTGTTGACGCGACTCGCCGGTGGTCGACCTCAACAGTTGGCTCAAGGGCGTCCGTTCTCGTCTCTGTGTATGTGTTTGTATGTTTGTTTTTGTAACTCAAAACCCCCACCCGACCCGCCCCTTAATCTCCCCCGCTCTGTATTGAGTGTTGATTGAACTGATACAACGCGACTTTTAATCGCGTTCCCTCCCTCCCGCCTTCGGTTTACTCTTCCTACCCCTCCATCCCACGCCGACGCCGTCGTAGTCGATATAATAATATATCTCTAGTAGTATACAATTAACATTTTTTAATTCTTTCGTTATTTATATAAATATATATATATATATATATAAACGAATGTATAACTATATATTATATAGAAATAATGAATGTAGAATGTATAAAGAGCGTATATACTTAAAATCAAACTATTTATTGAGGGGGAAAAAAAAAAATTATACTCGTGAAAATTGTTGGTTATTTGTGTCTATAAAGAAAAATTATATTTCTTTTTCATTTGCAAATAGTTAAATAAATTATGAATAATTTGAAGACCTATAAAAATAATAATTATAACAGTCAACACACATTTAATCATATGTTTATTACTAAATGGAAATACAATTGAACAAACAACCATTTAGGTTCTTTTCAGTATGATACTCCTTTCTAACGCATATAAAACTAATTTTGTAATTATCTTGCAAATTTTGTATAAAAAAGCATATCGTCGAATGATTGTATGACTATTTTATTTATGATATCAATTAATATCATAAAAAAATTACTTTTGCAGAGATTATTATGGAACAAAACATCGAAGAAATTCATCAGAATTTATTAAAATTTGGTTGTTGTCATGTATGCACAACTAGACATCTTACAAAACCGTCTTCAGTGGACGTTAATAAGCTCATTGCAGCGTCATCTTTAGATCACGAGAACCCAAAACGCCATAAAAGTAATCCTTGCATTGCATGTTTGGGATTGTTCCAAAATCCACAAAAAGACCAAATTATTAACGAGATTATTTCTTATTTAAAGTTGGCTAATTATGATTCAGATACATTCAATATAGCATTCAACTTGCCTATGTGTACAATTCTGAGAGGCCATTCTATATCACTTTATGTTTCAAAAACAAGAATATCATTTAACCCTTTAGCGCCAACTGCATTTGTATGTGTCAAAGACGCTTGGAAACTCATGGCCGAAGACGCTATTGTGAAAGCCACGGGAAAACGTTTCGATGTACATTCCCCGTTGTTAATCACTGCTACTTTTTCTTATGAAAACGACAAACAAGAATGTGATCAATTAAACACGATAATAAGACTTAGCAACAAAAATCTACAAGAAATTTTAACTCAAATGGACAACAAAGATTTCGTCAGCCAATACGGAGACTTGCCTTCTATACCATCTTCGACCATTATTTTCAAAGGCGTGTCTTCTCGACACGAAAGCGTTCATATAGCTGGTCGGTACAACAAATGGTCTAGGACGCTTTCTCAGACTCCTTGGATTGTGGACCAGGAAAGGCGCCTCGAGAGTTCAGTAGAAGAAATCATATCAGAGCCAATAAAAAAACATACGTTGGTCGACAGTTTTAGATTTTCATCGTCCGGCAGAGAAGATATTGACGTAAGGATGTTGGGAAAGGGCAGGCCTTTTGCTCTTGAATTAGTCAACCCTAAAAAAACCAAGTTTAGTTTCGAAACGTTCAGAGAAATTGAAAATGATATAAATAAAAATTCACTAGTAAGAGTTAAGCATTTACAAAGTGTTACGAAAGATGATTTAAAACAGTTGAAATCAGGTGAGGAGTTTAAAATTAAATTTTATCGGGCACTTTGTTATGCCAAAGGTGAATTGCCAGATCTCGACAAGCTCAATAAATATACATCGGTTGATCTGGTCCAAAACACACCAATACGAGTTTTGCATAGAAGAGCGAACATGGCCAGGAATCGAACTATACACTCTATAAATGGTAGTGCCGTTAAAGTTGACGGTAACAGTGATTGTTCCTTCTTCAACGTTGTTCTTTCCACTCAAGCCGGAACATATATTAAAGAGTTTGTCCATGGAGACTTAGGCCGCACAACTCCTAGCCTCAGAACTATTCTGGAAAACGACACAATTGATATATTGGCTTTAGATGTTTTAAGTATTGAAATTGACTGGCCTATGTCTGTAAAGTATTAAAAACATATTTTGATATTTATTATTAAATTTGTTATAATTTTTGTTTTATTTGATTAAACTTTTTTTTTAAAAAGGCAATTTGAAACTATTCCTAACAAGAACAAAAACCTACTTTGAAAATTGCTATGAATAAAAATATTTACATAATTAAAAAACATATAAGTTTTCACAGTTTAGAAACTCAAATTGATGATGGTATTACAAAATAAAATAAAAATTGTATTGAATGTAATTTTATTAAGTAGTATATTAAAAGTACTACTCAAATATAGTACTATAATTATAAGTAAAAAAACAATTCATCTTAATATTATTATTTATATTAATCACAACTATATGTTCCGAACAATTGGTAATATTTGTTTAAAATTATACAAAATATACTAAAGTAGGTAGGTATGAATAAGTGTTTAAGTATAAAGTTTTGTATTGAGGTAGAGCGAAAAAAGCTTCTGTGCAATAAAATAAAATGAATAATGATAGTAAAAAAAAAAAAACACGAGTAAATGTGAGAATGATTTAGTAACATATTTTGAAAAATGTTATGGAAATGATTTGTTCGCCTAGTTGAATGGACTAGAGTATAAGAAATCAATTTGTCAAAATCTATAATACAATAATAACTTATAAGTAGGTAAAAATATTTAAAATAATCACAACCAAAAATATTCACTGTAAGAGTAGTTTGTATCATTAATTATCGATTAGATATGTCGACTTAAATAAAATACTACTTGTACTTCTATGAACTAGTAATTAGGTTAAAACAAAACAATTTTTGGAAAAAAATGTTATTGGCATTTTGATCTCGTACGCTTTTAGAGAGATTTCTCAGAATCTGTTGACTAATTTGGTTGATTAATTTCATTCAAATGTCTACGAAGCGCCACAAGATTATCTTTTGGACTTTGCATTTTCGAATCAATGTTCAACGCTTGTAAATAATGAGACTCTGCAAGTTCATACTTTTTCCATCGATGATACAATACTCCTAGAAAATGTAAACGCAGTATAAATAATAATTATAATATTATGGGGTTCAACTCGGTATTGAACCGCTTACCCAAATTCGCATGGTATAACGCCAGAAGCTTTAAATTGTTTGTCATGTTCTTCAATTGAATTGCTGTCAAAAAGTGTTTTTCAGATTCGGAATATTTGTTCAATTTTCCCAGTATGTTTGCCATGTTGAAATGTAAACTCGGTTCGTCAGGCAAAATGGACAAAGCTTTGCGTGCAACATTTTCCGCTCGTTTAAGTTCGCCAATCGAGTCTAACATGACGATCATGTTACTCCATGCAATAATGTGAGTAGGTTGCTGGAAGGTAGCATTTTGCCAAGCCAATAAAGCTTTTGTGTTTTGACCTTGTTCGAGGTACTAAACAAAAAAAAAAAAAAAACATTTCAATTTTTGTGTCAAACTTACAGAGAAGCAGTTGATCATTTCTCACGAGATTTCCCAAATTATAATAACAATGAGGATATCTTCGGCGATGACGCAACGCAGTGAGATATGCAAATTCAGCTTCTTTAAAATTTTTCAGACCCGATAACACAATCCCCAAATTCATCCAAGCAGCTGCAAAATCTTTCCTGTACGGTATCAAGTTTTCCATTATAATAAAAAAATATATATATGGCAACTATTTATTAATATTATAAATAACAATACCTTATACTGACTGCTTTTTCTAGTAATGCTTTTGCCTCTTCTAGTTTATTTTGGTCCTTGAGGATATTCGCTAAATTATTCATAGCTTGATCATATTCCGGATGTAGTCTGATAAAAAATATATATGTAAAACAATGTTATAGTTATATATAATAGTTTTTTGTTTTGATATCGAATAAGGTTTTCTTATTTTTTAAATCTTACTCTAGCGCTTGTCTATAACGGTTTATGGCTTCGGACGTGTTGCCGGAGTCTGCTAGATTTTTTGCTAAATTATAATGAACTTTGGCGTTCATCGGGCACACTTTCAAAGCACTCTTGAACAAAATGTATTCCGAATTCCATTCTTCACTGCGCTGGTATGTTCTTATGGACTGTACCATGAGCATCATAACAACACACACGCCAACTATCTAAAACATGATGTCGATGTCATTTGTGATGAATACTATGTACAATATATCACATACCTACCTCTCTTATTATTGGTTCTCTGCACAATTTCCTAATACCCAATACGACGATCAAAATGAACCCGATGGACGGCAAGTATAAAGCTCTTTCCGCAATTACAAAACCCACTCGGAACAATAAATTCGATGCCGGTAAGAAGGACACTGCACCTATTACGAACCCCATTTGAATTTGCCTGCAACATTACAATTATATCAGTTTGAATATAATTCAATATTAACTGGACAGTATTTACCTCTGATGGCAATCGTCAGAATACAAAATTTTGTACGTGATAAAAACAAGAACAATCCAAAATCCGAAAACCAAAAATAATCTAGGGTCTTGAGGAAACTGATTTAAATGTATTAAAGATACACATCCCATTGACCAGTCGAAACACAACCAAATCGGGCACAGCATTATCCATATGTTGATTATGTAGATGTAACTGTAGTTGACAATCTATAACAGCAATTTAATTATTATTTTATGGTAATTTTATAAATATTACACAGGTAAATAGACAAACTTTTTCAATTCGCGATTCCAAAAATGAAGCGGGATTATCGATCGGCTGGAAAACCGGCGGAGATCCCATTATGGACCATCTCGTATAGATAATGATTAGAAATCCAACGGTTAACGTTACTAATCTATCAAAAGATTCTTTTTTAACCATTCCTGATAATTTGGAAAACTCTGCATTTTTTACTAAAGTTTGTATAGTAATTTTATTAATCACGATTAATTCGTAAGCACTGCAAACTATCTAAAATAAACATTTTTAAATTGAGCAAGTATAGTTTTATAAAATCAGTCAAAGCGTAAAAATTAAAGTGTTCTCACCAAAATCATGACTCCTTGTTCTTTGCATAACATAGCTATAAAACTCAGTATGCAACAAAACAATGAGGTCGCAAGGTTGACTTTAAAACTAATTGTTTTAGAATTGGCTGCATTATGATAGATGATAAAAACCAACAGAAACAGACACGCGCTTAATAAATCGGCACGTCCAACTACACTAGACACCTGTCAAGTGATCAGTTTATTAGACAAATAAAAAAAAAAAATTATATATATATTTTTTTATATTACCACTTCGGTGTGTACAGGATGTACTGCAAACATAACCGACGCCAAAAAAGAAGTTTTTGGAGCTTCATTACGGAAAAGTGAATTGTACACTTGTAATAGGAGGCACGACACGACAGCGTGTAGAATAATATTGGTTATGTGAAACGACATCGGAGAGAGTTCTCCATTGTTTAGCCAAACGTTAAACCTAAAATAACAATTTTTTAAATTAAATAAACACAATTTAGTAAAAATGAGCAATTGCTGATTCTATCTAATACCTAAATGACAATATTGTAAGAGGCCTGTATGACTTGTGACTGGCGTTGTTAGTCAATCGTGTACCCCAAAAATCATGACTAAATATTTTGATTACTGGTGTTGACAAGTTGACATCATGATTGTTGACGACGGCTTCGGAGTCGTCGAACACGAAAGTACCTTTATAAGTGGCACTATAGCATACAATCGACAATAGTCCAACAGTTAAGACTGAAGCCCAGCCCGGTAATGCTGCAAATTAAATAAGAAATTTATATTTGTCTGTTTTGAATCAAAATAGCTAATCAAACCTGGAAAAGGTAGCAGCGAATCCCAATAATTGCTCTTGTTTAGCTTCATGATGGAAGTTCTACATTTACATGTCCTTTAAGTTGAAAAAGTTTGAAATCGTACATTTTGAATTATGTTACATATTTTATACATAATTCATAAAATAAATAGACAAATAATTATTTTTAAATAGAAGAAGAGTTAGATTACCCAGGCACTATCTATACATAATAATCGTAATATTAATCAAGTCCAACGATGATTAATTTAAAATTTAAAAATTTTGTTGTGTTTACTATTTTTTACAATGTATTTGTTATCATAAATCATTACAGGGTTCTTATCAGTAAGTATTTACTATTGATTATTTCCAGGGTTACCATTTTATTAATTGGTCGCATATTATAGTTCTGTGGTGTTCAGGCAAAGGGGGATAAGTGTAAAATCGCAACTTTTGGAATCACTGAAACTAAATCACTTCAGTTACATTTAATCTCATTCTTCACGTGTGAATACTATTATTAAAATATCATCCTATGACTTATCCCGTTATGCCCAAACGTGAAGAATATTTTCTCAATATTTTAACCTTATAACCCCAAATTCGCATTTTTTTACTTATCCCCCTTTGCCCGAACATCACAGAGTTTATTATTTCTAACGTATAGCCGCTGTAGGTAATACCTAGGTATATCGATAAAATATACATTTTACTGAAACGGCTAATGAAGTATTTAAGTATAAAAAATCATATTGGATGCAAAATTGTAAATGTTTTCGATTCAATAGGTCGATAATTAATTAACCATATACTGACATGCCTACATATATTATATCTAAAAGTAACCGATACTTTGATGCATTGATTATATGCAATGATACATCATTATTATTAGTTAACGTTTGAGGGGTAGTCAATATCATTAATATCCATTAGTTTACTCTCAAACCCTAGAGTTTGTAACAATGTTATCCATCGAGGTAAAATAGAGATGAGAAATTCAAATTATTAGGATCAGTTTCGCTAGAAAATGAACGAAATAAAGCAAAATATGAATAAAAGGTAAAGATCGACCGTTATAATACTAAGAATGAAAGCAGCTGTTTCTTAAACTATTCTATTTTGTTAGTAGTTGAAACAAAAATAACGATATTATAAACCTTATGTTGGCTGTCGCGTAATAATACTTTTCAAAAATGTCTATTCTAATTGACCAACATCTATAGGCATGCCAAGCGTGAAAAATTTAGCAAGAATATATTTTTAGTTTCCATCTTTTTAAAAATAAATCAAAGACATGACACGCAGTTAAAACGAATGTCTAATTGCTCGACCTAATCCACCAGAAGCAGTCATAAATCCTTGGAAATATCCGCAAAGGCTATAGTTTTAGAAATTACATATAGATTTTTATAACTTGTATCAGAATAAAATGTTTTAAAATTTAAATTATTGTTGATACAACGACCAAATACTTGGAAGTATTTCCAGTAAATTTGATAACAGTACAAACAGTCATTTACAAACAAAATTGTGTAGACTAATAGTAATATTCTTTTTTTTTAAATATTTATAGGTAAAATAAAATAATAAATCAAATAGTTTAATACAAAATAATTTATTTTCGTATTTATGTCATAATTGTATACTAATGTAATATAAGCACATATTCTGTGCGTATTTAGATCTAAATTTTCTAAAAAATGCACGGAGTTTTAACATTTTCTTCAACTACAAACAAAGTAGGACAGTCTAATGTACGATAAATTATTAATGTAGTATGTGTTACCTACATTTCCGTAAAACTTGTTTCCAATACTAAAGTTTTATTAATTAATACACAACCATTATACTCATCGGATATAAGCGGACCATATTGAATAATTAATAATAATTAACTAACAAAGTTGACATAAAATTTAGACCATGACAAAAATGACCTAGATTACTATGGAAGCGAGTGTCTAGGTTAAAGAAATTATTCTACTGCGTCATGCTAATTAAAGGCTGTTGGAAGGGCGAGGGGGTTGATACTATAACATAAATATTTAATTAAATGTGTGACGTGTATTGTGTAAAAGTTCTAGTATTATCTATAATATAGCCTAACATAACCCAACCTACTATTATGCCGACAAGACTAAAAAAAGTTAGGTTAATAAATGGAAATTTTTAAATAATTTACTTATAAGTTATACCTCGCATGATATGAAAAAACTTAACATTTAAAATATATAATTAACAAACAAACAACGGTGGCACAATTTTTAAACTACTGACAAAAGTTTAATTCCTGGTAGTCATATTGGTTCTGCACACGTAAACGTCTACTATAGTGTAAAGGAAGATAAACGGAACACGTCAACATTTTATTCGAGACAGTACAAGCATAAAAAACGAAGTGATCATCGTCTCAAACAAGGTTTCAAGTTATGAATACATTATGATACCTATTCTAGTTGTGATTAATACGTATTTGATGATTCTAACTAATAGTTTTTAAGCAGGCCAAGATAAATAAGCAAATTCAACTTAAATTAATTGTACTTCAAGTAGGAGATTCCTTCCGGGGTTTAAATGTAATTTTTGAATTCTGTAGTAAATCATGTAAAAAAAAATTATTATTAACTATTACTTTATCGCATTATTGAGATACATAAAAAATTGATGTCTAGATCAACTGTATTTTTAATTAGTTTTGAACTGCCATTCTGTAGTACTAAATTATGAACATTTTGATAATGGTTTCACTCAGACAAACAAAAATTATTAATAATTATAAAAAAATCAATAGAACTTTTTTTTTTAATTTCTGTAGATTTTTCCAGTTCTAGATCAATAGCCATCACAGAAGCAAAAGATGGATACCAAAATTAAAGATACAAAATATATTAACTATAAACTTATGAAATTGCTTGGATTTTATCAGCTACTAAACCCTAGAGAATCATATTATACGGTTTGGGGTTACAACGTTTATCAATTCCTTTACGCTTTTCCGGTACTCATCGAGTTGATCTTCATCGTTTTTGGCATAATTGGTCTTTACTATTGGTTAAATGATTTGAATCTCTGTGCTCAACTTATAATGTATACATCAGCTAGTTACATGACAATGTTCATAACCATTAGATTTGCCCAGAAGTACCATGACATTAAAGAATGTTATGAGGTGATGAAAGAAGATTTCTTGCCTTACAGAAATTACAGCAAAAACATATACGAGTTTTACAAAAAAAGATGTATTAAGGTCACTAATGTTTATGCGTTATCGTGGTTTTGTTTGTGGGCAGCTTGGTTAATTAGCCCGATTTTTATCAAGGAATATTCTGCAAAAAACTTGGAAGGCGAAATACTGACCTACCGAAACAATATATTTAATGTATTGTTTAGTCCTATATCGGTAGCTCACTACCACAATTTCTATGTGCTTTTTTACTGCCTGGAAGCGATTGCCGTTACCCACATAGTAGTATTCTATGTTGTGTATGAAATGGTCTTGACCACTTTTTGTTGGATGATATCAGCTCAACTAAAAATCGTTGCTTCTATGTACAGCACTTTTGGATACAACAGCTCATCGACATCCGACAGTGAGTCATTCAATTTGTTTCGTTTATTAAAAATATTATGATAAAATTGAATATTTTGTATTTATTTAAGTCGGGAGCAATAAAATGACCGAAGTCGAAAAATTTGTTAATATTATTTCTAATCACCAAAGAGTTATAAAGTAAGTGATTTATTTATATGGAATTATAATATGCCATAAATCTAATGATATAATTATCACCACTTATTATAATTGTAATCGTTTTCCACCCTTAAGTCCCCCAAAATAGACTAGAGTTTACCTATAATATTATTACAGAGACACCTAAAAAAAGTTTATACATATGCTATTCAATACACAATATTAATTTAAATACGCAGTCAAAATACATATAAATAGAAACAATTTTTTTCAGAGTATTAAACACGTTTTACGGTATTATTCGACCACTCCTTCTTACTCAAATTGGATGTAGTGCTACCATATTCACTATTTGTACATATATGTTTGTTTGGGTAAGATTTTACAAATGCCGTAAGGGCGTATCTATGGAATATTGAGTTATGTATATTGTGGAACAACACATAAATGTCTTAACTATGCTAATGCCAAATAATAAAATTAACAATGGCATTGTTTAAGAGTATTATGATAAAATTAAAAAAACTATATTTTTATAGAACTGGTTTAATGATTCTTTCGTGTTATTTCTGGTGTCTGCAAAATGGATTTTATCAGCTATGATTATGATGGCCCACTTGTTCATTTCTTGTTATTTCTTTGGATATCTCGATGATCAAGTAAATAGTATACAATAGTTGTTCAATTGTTAGATTGGACTAGAGATACTTTATAGTATACTTTTATTTTTGCATAACTCATTCTCTATTCTCGATAATATTACTTACCGGCACTCTGTGAATTAAAAAAATGTATGAGTAGTTTATTTGTTATTTTATTCGTATAAATATACTGGTTTTTGTCGAATAATGTTGCATTAAAATTATTTTGTGAATAAATACATTTTTGTTTTCATTAATACAATACTTGATTTGTTTTATTTTAAAAATACTATAGCGCCTACATTGAACGATTTATTTGTATATATTTATTTATTTTTATAATGTCGATTTATTTTTGAGTGGCTTTTAAGTTGTAATATTAAAATTGTATATGTTCACAGGTAAAATCAATGAATTTTGCCTTGTACAGTAGCAATTGGACTGAAAAGGATATCCAATTTCAAAAGTTGATTTTGTTGGCCATGAATATGAACAGTGCTATTAATAATATTTCAATGAAATTAACACCTACTAAAATCGTGAATCTAGAGATGTTAGCAAGTGTAAGATTTAAAAAAATCAGTTACTAAATAATGAAGCCTTAATATGTATGTGTAAAGAACGTAATGACTAATGGTCCATTCTATTTTAACACTTTAATAAACTATTTAATTTATATTATTTATTTGTTGCAAAATAATTCCTATAGATTCTTTAGCCACTAAACATACATACAGATTATTGTAAAATATAGATTACAAATAATATATAGACGCTTTAGTACGTATTGTTGGATTAGAAACTAAACTTATTTCTTCTAAAAAAAAAGTAACAATTATTTGTCTCATAAAACTTGAATATAATATTATTTGTTCGTCCATTTGCAGGTTATGCACGTATCATATTCGATAGTGTCAGTTTTAGCAAAGAAAAAATTATCCGACGGCAGTTAGTTTGTGTACAAAATGACATAAATAATAAACACTCAACAATGCATACTCACATGGATTTAAGTATATTATTATTAGTATTGTGTATTACTAAACACTACACAATTTAAGAAATGAAAATATTGATAGTAATATTAACAGGGTTCCGTAACGTAACGACATATAACGTTATAAACTCAATTATTTCGTTCACCAAAATAAAGTTTACAGAACATAACATAACATATGTTTGGTGATAACATAATGAATAACGTTTTACATTTTTTTGGTCCGAGAACGTTATAACGAATAATGTTATAATTTGTTTTACCCCGAGAATGTTAAAATTAATTTTGCTAAGTTAGGTTAGGTTAGCAAAAATAGTGATTCAAAACTGGTTATCGACCAGTCAAAATATTTAGTACATTATTTTTTATCACTATTTTTGCTAACCTAACCTAACTTAGCAAAATTAATTTTAACATGCTCAGGGTAAAACAATTTATAACGTTATTCCTAGTGTACGTTCATGAACATAATTTTGAACTGAACAAATAAATAACGGTTAACGGAACCCTAATGTGTTCTATTTTTTTTTATATAAAATGATTTGTAAACACTACCTATTTTAATGCATATAGGCTTTATTGTCACAAAACTATTTGTTCTTAGTAACGTGCTAATGTAACCAATAGAGAAGTAAATAGTGAACTTAACAATATTATCTTGTGTTAATATAGTTTTTTATTTTAATACCTAAAAATCCTAAGTTCACCCTTCTTCGGCTGTATTCAACGGTAGTTATAGGGCAGAATGGGCAGTTCGTCCTCCTTCCATAAGTGTGGCGGCAATGCCAGATGAAGCCAGTGCAAGTGCGATGTGTTGTTTAGCAAGTATTTCTGCCAGCAATAGATTTATTAGAAATGTTTTTCGGTGCCGCCTGGTGCGTTAAAGTAAATAATTCTGCCAGTGTTATTGTTGATTCGGTCCATGATAATGTTGTAAATTTGTTTTTGATTGTCATTGAGTAGTGGTTTGTTGTAAGCAATGTATTGAAGTAGTTCGTTGATGTTGTAGCTTTTTTTCTTTGTAATTAAAGATCTCCTCCTCTTTTATGTTTGGGCATTTTTCTTGAAAAAAATACATTTTATAGGGTAAGGTGGGGTAAGTGCGTTATTTCACAAATGAATACTGTTGGATACATCTATAAGAATTTAAAAGAAAGAGTATGGTAGTGTTATCGTTTACGGTCTTGCGTAGTTGATATTACTTATGTAAACAACTTTATTTCAATTTATTTTTTTTTATTGAGAAAATAAACAATCTATACAATTAAAAGCACACTAAGTATATGTGTTGATATAATACAAAACATGTGATACATTTAATAAAGAAGTCATCCAGTGACACTTAAATTTAATAATTCATTTTTTAAACAAAAAAAATAACAATAAAGCGAGCTGCCCATATTTTTGGGTTGCCGGTCGACCCAGCATACTTAATCAAACTGCGTAATTTATTTATATACAATTAAGTGATTTAATTTAACACAAAATAATTATTATTAATCTATAGAACTCAATTTTAAAAACGGAAACAAAAAAAATAAAAAAAATAAATGAAAATAACAATAATTACAACGGAGATATAAATGTAATATGCGGGTGACTATTAAATTGTAAGTATAAGTGGTAGTTTATTAAAAACCAATTAAAATATATCCATAAATCGTACTTACCCCGAGTTATGGGGAAAGTGTATCGTTGGTGAGCGCATGAATATACTCGAACAATCGTGCCGTGCGATACATATCAGTGTACTCGGTGATTGGTTAACTATAGACCAGCCAATAACTTTGAAGATATTCGATTTTTTTTTAATTATTATTTTTTTTAATTTTATAGTTATTAGTTGGGACAAATTTAATATATTTTTTAAATTATAACCCCATCCCGTATATGTTAAAACCGTATGAACTTAAGAATATTAAATAGTAACGTATATATTTTATTAACTTCTTAAATTAAGAAAAATTTGATGAACATTTTGACTGGTCGATAACCAGTATTGGATACTGCTTGCACATCGATTTGTTAATAAATTAGAATCAAATTAGTTTAAAATTTAAAATTTTGTTGTGTTTTATATGTTTACATTGTTATTTGTTATCATATATATATACATTTAAGACATTATTAACTGATGCAAGAAAAATGTATCGTTTCAAATCTTTTTAGTTGGCCACCCCTTCACTTAAGTCGTCCAGCTTTGTAGCAAAAAAAAAAAAAAAATAATAATAATAAAAAAAGATTCACACGAAAAGTTGTTTTAATTTTTATTTGCATCGATTTTTTCATCCACTAACTTTTAATAATGTAATGAAAAATACTAAAAACCTAAACTCTAATTATTCATATAAAGAACAATTAATTTGTCTATCAAAAAATTCCCATCCTCAAGCACACATAATATTCTCCTTTATTTTTCAATAAAAAAATTGGTAGATCTAACACGATTACATCCTATCTACAGTGTTGATTTACGCAACACTGTCTTACACTACACATTACAGGTGAATACTGTCTTTTTAATAATAAAGCACGATAGCCAATCGGTACATTTTACAACATATTTCTTAAGTCGGTTTTTTTTATAAACTTTTTCAAGGCAAAACATATTAATTACAGCCTAGTTTTTTGCAGAAAGTTCAACATATTAATAAAAAGTAGAACACTTTATACAGAACTTTTTTTTTAAATGTATCAACTGTAAATATGATGATGGTTTAACTTTTCTGCTATTGTGACATTTGTAGTATGTTGCTCATTTAAAAACATCGTGTTCACTGCAAATCATTCGGCAGTAAAGGTTAGTCCTTGTAATAGTAAAGAAATGCAGAATATCATTCCTAAAATTAAATATTCTTCTTTTATGGAATTTGTAATCCTAGGATCGTTTTTTTTAAGAAAAAAAAAGGTTTGGTTTTATTTTTATGTTGACTACTTTCTCATAAAATGTATCGACCAATGTGTATAGGTCGATCTAATAAACAATGAATAATTACTTTAGTCGTGCATTACTTAGAATTCCAATGAAACTTTTATACTATTCTACGACGAAGTTTTGATAATTAATGCACTATTAAAGTTTGTTAATGTGTTTAAATTATACACGCTCATCGGATATAAGTGGACATGACCTAAAAAAATGCATTTCCATAGTTAACTTTTCTGCTGTTGCTCATTTTAAAACATCGTGTTCACTACGAACCATCCGGCAGTAAGTGTTAGTTCTTGTAATAGTAAAGACCACTATAACATTAAAAATCGTAGGTCCAACGATTGGAAATAATACTACAAGTACATTATCAGGTAATATCAGATGTTAAAAACAATCGTTGTTAAATAATTGAAATTACTTTTAACTGTACTATCTCAAAGGTACCTTTAATAAATTATTGCTGCTGAATCACGATCGGCTATATTTTTAATAATAATAGTTGGTTTTAATTTTGACTTACCGGTTCGTCACCCAAAGTCACGTTAATTGTTGCCATTTTGTCTTTTTTTATTTCACGGCTATATGGACACGAAGTGTTAGTATAATTTAGCATGTTTTTATGATTCGACCAAAATGTTATTGGTACATCCCTGGTTGGTGCAAAAATCTTAGAAAAATGGGTCCACCGAAAACTTCAGAACTTAATGTAAATGCATGCCAAAAATCTTTTAAAATATCTAAAGTAGTGCTCTATTAGTAACATAACAAAAAAACGAAAAACAGTGATTACAATCAACTATTACATTATCCTTTTATTAAAAACTTAATAAAAGTAAAAAATGTATCTCCTAATAACATAATTTAAAAAATAAATTATAACAATAATATGAAAAATATTTTGTGTAGGTATTAAACCATATCGCTTAAATTCAGTCAAAACAATAGGGTTCCAACAAATATTTTTTAAGCGTGCCGAGATACATATTAATTAAATTCACCCTAAACTTGTAATTCTAGTAAGAGTTTCATTCAGGATTTACATGTAATTTTTGCACTCTGTAGTAGTCCATTAGTTATTGGCACTTTGTTTTTTTCAATTAAAAATTGTTTACACGGTTTGTATCAAAAAACAAATATAATAATCTATTAAATTTATACATGAATATCTAGCTATTCCAACTAGTTTCTAATCTTTCAAATAAAAAAGTTATTACATTATTAATTGATTTTCAATAATAGCTATTCTGTAGAAATAAATCATGTACATTTGTTGTATGTAAATAATTAAATTATTTTTAAAAATTAGAAAGGTACTAATTTTTTTTTTTGCCACATATTTTTCCAGTACACTATCAATAGTCATCAGGGAACCGAAGATGAATACCAAAATTAAAGATGCAAAATATATTAACTATAAACTTATGAAATTGCTTGGATTTTATCAGCTACTAAACCCTAAAGAATCATATTATACGGTTTGGGGTTACAACGTTTATCAATTCCTTTACGCTTTTCCGGTACTCATCGAGTTGATCTTCGTCGTTTTTGGCATAATTGGTCTTTACTATTGGTTAAATGATTTGAATCTCTGTGCTCAACTTATAATGTTTACATCAGCTAGTTACATGACAATGTTCATAACCATTAGATTCGCCCAGAAGTACCATGACATTAAAGAATGTTATGAGGTGATGAAAGAAGATTTCTTGCCTTACAGAAATTACAGCAAAAACATATACGAGTTTTACAAAAAAAGATGTATTAAGGTCACTAATGTTTTTGCGTTATCGTGGTTTTGTTTGTGGGCAGCTTGGTTAATTAGCCCGATTTTTATCAAGGAATATTCTGCAAAAAACTTGAAAGGCGAAATACTGACCTACCGAAACAATGTATTTAATGTGTTGTTTAGTCCTATATCGGTAGCTCACTACCACAATTTCTATGTGCTTTTTTACTGCCTGGAAGCGATTGCCGTTACCCACATAGTAGTATTCTATGTTGTGTATGAAATGGTCTTGACCACTTTTTGTTGGATGATATCAGCTCAACTAAAAACCGTTGCTTCTGTGTACAGCACTTTTGGATACAACAGCTCATCGACATCCGACAGTGAGTCATTAAATTTGTTTCGTTTATTAAAAATATTATGATAAAATTGAATATTTTGTATTTATTTAAGTCGGGAGCAATAAAATGACCGAAGTCGAAAAATTTGTTAATATTATTTCTAATCACCAAAGAGTTATAAAGTAAGTGATTTATTTATATGGAATTATAATATGCCATAAATCTAATGATATAATTATCACCACTTATTATAATTGTAATCGTTTTCCACCCTAAGTCCCCCAAAATAGACTAGAGATAAGTATAAAAGTTTAATTATAATATTATTACAGAGACACCTAAAAAAGTCCGTATATATGCTATTCAATACACAATATTATTTTAAAGATGCAGTCAAAATATATATTAGTATAAACATATTTATTAATATAATATACTATGTATTAATAAAATATTTTTTTTTTTTTAGAGTATTAAACACGTTTTACGGTATTATTAGACCACTCCTTATTACTCAAATAGGATGTAGTGCCAACATATTCACTATTTGTACATATATGTTTGTTTGGGTAAGATGTTACAAGATAAATATATTTTATGTATTTGTTTTTTATTCTTATTATTTAAAATCACTAATAATTGTATATTTTATCTATTATATCAATTGTATATTAAATCGGTGTACAGGTGTCATAAGGGCATATCGCTGGAATATTACCCTTATTATGCTAATGACAAATTTTTAAATGGTCAAAAGTATTATGATAAATTTTAACCATATTTTTATAGAATTGGTTTAATGATTCTTTTGTGTTATCTCTGGTGTCTGCAAAATGGATGTCATCAGCTATGATTATGATGGGCCACTTGTTCATTTCTTGTTATTTCTTTGGATATCTCGATGATCAAGTAAATGCTACTAAGTAAATAGTATACAACAGTTGTCAGTTATTAGATTAGACTAGAGTTACTTTACAGTATACTTTTATTTTTGCATCACTCATTCTCTATTCTCGATAATATTACTTACCGGCACTCTGTGAATTAAAAAAAATGTATGAATAGTTAAGTTGTTATTTTAGTCGTATAAATATACTGATTTTTGTCGAATAATGTTGCATTAAAATTATTTTGTGAATAAATACATTTTTGTTTTTTATTAATACAATATTTGATTTGTTTTTTTTTTTATAAATACTATAGCGCCTACATTGTACGATTTATTTGTATATATTTATTTATTTTTATAATGTCGATTTATTTTTGAGTGGCTTTTAAGTTGTAATATTAAAATTGTATATGTTCACAGGTAAAATCTATGAATTTTGCCTTGTACAGTAGCAATTGGACTGAAAAGGATATCCAATTTCAAAAGTTGATTTTGTTGGCCATGAATATGAACAGTGCTATTAATAATATTTCAATGAAATTAACACCGACTAAAATCGTGAATCTAGAGATGTTCGCAAGTGTAAGTTTTAAAAAATTAGATACTATTGGTAAATTATATTTAAGCACTTTAATATTTAAGTAAGCCAATTTATATTATTTATATGTCGCAAAGTAATTTCTTTCGATTCTGTGTGACTAAACATGCACATAGAATATGGTAAAAGAATAAGATAGAAAAAGTATTGAAGAAACCGTCAAAATTATCACAGTGGATTGTAAATTGAGATATGTGGAAAGGATTTGTGCAATTTATGTTAGCTGGAAAAAAATGGAACAATAGTTTAGTGGTGAAGGAATAAAAGGTTTCCTCAAAATATACAACAGAGATCGGAGCGGAAGGCGTGTTGGGAACTCAAATTCTTTCGTCAACATTGGAACATTAACCTTTGGAATATTAACTTATGTACGTTACATCGAATGTGAAATTAATTTAAATACTTTTTGACAATTTTTATGTACTCAATGGTATTTATGACAGTATCTTTTAACCTTTCGTTCCTGGGATTTTTTTTTTCGTGTCGAACTGATATTGATTATCAATATAGCTGTGTCGATTGTTTTATCATCAATCTATACTAGAACTTGTGTTTAAAGACATTTTTGAGAATGATACGTACGTTGAAATTACATGAAATATTAGAAACTTTTTTTCTCAAAAATACCAAATTACAGCCTTCGGAATTATTAAATTTATTGTAGATGTTTTATTCTTGAACCATCTTGAACTATTTAGTTCAGAAAACCATTTATAAACGCTATTATGAAGAAAAATCCTTTACTGTACTAATAAAATATAGACGCTTTAGTACTTATTATTAGATTAGAAACTCAACTAATGTCTTCAAAAAATGTAGCAACAAATATTTTGTCTCATAAAACTTAAATATAACATTTTTTTACATGTATTTACAGGTTATGCACGTATCATATTCGATTGTGTCAGTTTTAGCAAAGAAGGAATTATCCGACGGCAGTTAAGTGTTTACAACATGTCATAAATAATAATCACTGGATAATGCATTCTCACATGGATTTAAGTATATTATTAAAAACTACACAATTTAAGAAATGAAAATATTGATAGTAATGTTTAACAGGGTTCCGTATCGTAACGAAATATAACGTCATAAACTCAATTATTTCGTTCACCAAAATAAAGTTTATAGAACATAACATAATATTAGTATATGTTTGATGATAACATAATGAATAACGTTTTACATTTTTTTGGTCCGAGAACGTTATAATTTGTTTTACCTCGAGAATGTTCTAACAAATTTTGCTTAGTTAGGTTAGGTTAGCAAAAATAGTGATTCAAAACTGGTTATCGACCAGTCAACATTTTTAGTACATTATTCTTTATCACTATTTTTGCTAACCTAACCTAACTTAGCAAAATTAATTTTAACATGTTCAGGGTAAAACAAATTATAACGTTATTCCTAGTTTACGTTCATGAACATAATTTTGAACTGAACAAATAAATAACGGTTAACGGAACCCTAATGTATTCTATTTTTTTTTTTTTTTTAAAGAATAATTTGTCAAAAACACTACCTATTTTAATTGCTAATGTAACCAATAAAGAAGTAAATAGTAAACCTAACAATATTATCTTGTGTTAATATAGTGTTTCACTTTAATACGTAATAATCCGATACCTACATTAATTTTTCCGAGTTAATTTTTTTTTTTCAACCCGACGACTATTATTCAACTATACATGAACCGATATATATATATTTTTTGATTACCAAACAATTATCTAAGCGATATATGAGTTATGGTATACATTTTGAAATAGTTGAAAATTGGCAGAAGGATAATTTTCTATATTGTTAAAAACATTTTGGAAATTCTACGTATCGATTGTTGCTTTTGTCCGAATGCAAAACCTTGGTGACAGCTAGTTAAAAACGCAAAATGGAATGTGCTTTTAAGGTTCTAAATAATGTATGTATCCCAGCAATTAAATTGGATAATGTACGTAATAAAAATATATAAAAAAAAGTTCATTTTGAACTCGCGGTATTGATGAAGAGCTTATTAACTCTTTGTGATCATTGTACGCAAAACAAAATTACAATAATTGACCTTCAGTACAAGTTACCTCCAAATATCATTTTATTTTATAACCATTGTCGAATGGCATATAAATTTAAAAAAAATTAATTCGTGGCTATACAGGGTGATCCATTTTAATGTAAGACACTCATATTGGTAGAGTTGCAATGTGTTTTAAAGAAAATGTTTTAAACAAACGGTATTCTTTTAAAAGTTTTAAATATTATTTTTATATTTTTTTGCAGAATGTAGTAATCATAATATTATTATTATCGTACGTCATAATAAGTCTATGATTATATAAAAAATGTGTGAAAATTATAATTTTATGTTGGCTACACTGTTACAGCGGGTTATTATCACGTAAACGGTATTTTAATTTAAGTAATTCATTTGAAGCGTTGCGTGGCAAAGTCGACTATCTCCAGGTGCAGTGATTTTTGGTAAATTTAAAAAATCTGATTTTCTTCTGCACTCTCTTAGCCGCAATTACCTATTTTTGAAACGTTTTATCTTTATGGGGAATTATATGTGATAAAAATCAGTACCACCAGTCGATGCAGAGTGAAAAATATAATAAGAAAATGTTAAAAACATTTATTTCAAAGAATGTGGAGATTGCTGACTTTGCCACGCAACGCCTCATTTGTATTTGTTGAAACTTACAGAATTCAGATTTTAAGGTATAATATAATAGTTAATATCAAATATGTATTAGTTTTATGTATACATAATACACTGTATTACTGATTACCGAATACTAAAATTAAACAATTATATAGTCTGCATAGTAGATTGTACTACAATAATTATATAGAAATCAACTCAAGTCCTTCCTGTACTGGCAGTAGTGTAGTTAAAACTTAAAACTAAAAAATGTGTTCAAAGGTTTGCTCTGAGGTCTGTAGAGAGTAGAACTGTTTATATGTTACTATTGTTTATTATTAAAGAGTAAATATCTAATTACATAGTCTAACTAGAATTAAAAAAATAACCATCCGGAATTGGTAAGTATTTAGTAAATATATAATATACTTACAATTTCTACATAATTATATACTATACTAAATTTAATTAAAAGTAGTTTAAAACATAACTTTTTAATTATATTAAAAACAGTTTAAAACATTAAAAACATAGTTTTTAACAAAAAAAAACAACGTTTTTTTTGCAACTCTGATGATTGGGTGCGGTTGACTAATGCGGTCAGATAAAAATAATACTACATGTAACCTTTTCGGCAGTCCGAAATTTGAGTTAACATTTTCAGTAAATTGTTTTTAACTTAAAAATGTAATAAAATATACTATACGTTATGTTTCAAAAGTTGGTAAAACTCTGAAACTTACCAAAAAAGTAAAACAGTTAAATATTGTTTAATACTGTTAAATAACAAAAACAAAATGTTTCCAAAAATGTTAATTGTAAAAATAAAATGTTTGTATTCAGTGAAAATGAGTGGCTTACGTTAGAAGGATCACGCTGTATATTAATAAAAAATAGGCAATGTTTTTTTTTTAGTTTGATTAGATTTCAAGGTTTGATCCCATGTATACTATTATAATCTACAATGTATACATTGTTGATGAACAAGAGCAATATAACTCCTTGATTTGGTCGGTTTATGGCATAGAGTTTTGCCAGGAATTCGAATTATTCTATTAAAAGCAGTCCTGAGAGCAGTATCTGTTCTAAAATGAAAATGCTGTGTTTAACAACGTTAGTGTTTGCTGTACCTTTACTCGTTGGTCGATCTGTCTCGGTAAGAATTTTATAGTAAATTAACAAACGATACTAAACGTGTTGATTTCATTATGGTTTAGGCGTTATATAGCTTGTCTTTGATAAAAGCGACCAAATGCCAACCAGACCAAAATGTTGTGTGGTACGACATAATATATAATGCTTCAATTCCGTCCTCGACTAAATACAACCACTATGTATTGCACAAAGATATCAACGAATCTTTGAACACCACGGTAAATTAATATGCGAATTAACGATGCGATTTTAAGAGAAAATTTCCTAGAAAATTGTATACATAATAATTTTTCGATACTAGAGGACGGCTTAAACTACTAAACCCGTAAAAAGTATAATTTTTACTTCTTATTTATTCCAGTAATCAAATCATTTGATAATTTTTAATCATTGATAATCAAAAACAAGTACGAAAAAAATAGCTCCATTTTGGCCCTATTATCTCAATAAAATATTTATTATATATTTATGGATTGTAACTCCTAAAAACTGATGAAAGTATCACAGTAATTAATCCCCTTCAAAAATGACTCTACGTAGACGATAAAAAATATTTAGTTCGCTAGATATTTAAATGCATGTGATATAAAATTATTAATTTATATTTAAGATTTCCTGTGATGTATACAAGAAAGAAACACATTGGGAATTGATACCTTATGCTTCTGGCAAAACTGTTAATTACTGTTCATTTTTAAAACGCGATATAACAATCATGCCAGTAGTTAAGACATTTGCAGAAATAGGCCAGTCGTGTCCTCTAAAACAGGTATGTAATAATTGTGTTCAACTATTTGAGAAATTATTTTTGAAAAATATATTTTTTAATATCAAACTTAATATATGTATGTATTTAATCACAATAATTAATTCAATAATGTTTAACAGGGCACATACCTAATACTAAAAAACAAATTTTCAAGTATATTCAAATTAATCGTTATGTCTGGATGCTTTAAGCTAAATCTGAAATGGTATGACTCCAACAGAAAGTATTTATCGTGCATTTCATTTGTAGTTTTTCAGTCACTCGATCAAAATCACGAAGTCGGTCGTAACACTTGTTATTAAATCCTAATTAAAAAATCTTTACGTTAAAGCATGGTTTCGGGGGTGGTTACAGAAGACTTAAGAGGACGTCATACACTTTAAAAATTATCGTAAAAATGTGTTTATGGAAAAGCGTGTAGGTCTAAGCGAAATGGCCATAGTAAAATAAAATTGATACCATTAAAACGAGAAGAGCTTTATTTAGGTTCTCTCGTCGATTTTTTTAGAAAAATTGAAATTTTACCTTGAATACAAACATCTAAAAAAAGTTTTAAAAAAACCCATTTTGCATCCGAGTCTGCAACCACGAAAGACCATTTTTATGACTCGTTGAAGTACCGAATAAATTTAGGTAATGGTGGAATTATAGATAGTGAAATAGTTTATTAACAAGTTAGTATCTAAGGTAACTAGTAAACATATCAAGTTTATGGCTAATATTTTAGTGTTTTCATAATATCTGGTTTAAAACAATTCATAGGAAATATGAACCTGTTAAATTACATTGAATTAATTTTTTAGTTATAATTTGATCGTTGTGAATACAACATATCTTTTATCTCTAATCTCTTATCGAATAACAGCGTAACGCTTTTTTCGGTTATGTGCCAGAGCTAAGACATGAAAATGTCAAAAATATCAGAATAAAAATATAAATTGAAAATTATAACAATAATAAAAACTAAAATATAATAATAAAAAAAAAACCCGACGAGAAAGCCTAGATAAAGTTTTCATTATTTTAAATATGTAAAAATAATTTTACTATTATTATTGAGTCCATAATAGAGCGAACATGCGTAGCTATGTTTAGATAGTCCGAAAAATAAATTAACTTCCATAGAGTCATAATTATTGAACTAATATTTACACATCAAGATTAATCTTTAAATTATCATTTTGCAAAAAATTGCCTATACCTAACTACTTAATATAAGGGGTATGATGTCTTTTTAATTGTTTTTTGTAGTGTGCCATGATTTTGTTTGTTCGAGATTTTATTATTGTCAGTGTAAAATAAATGGGTAAATAAGAAAGAAATGTTTTATTTTAATTACTAACCTTTGTAATACATAAATTATATTCCAACCATTGTCATTCTACTATAAATTAATATATTTGTGTTATTGTTGAAAAAAAATCAAGTATTTATAAGAACTCAGTAAACTTAAGTTATCATAGAAACCTCAAGGTGACCTAA